AAAGCAATGTATTGTCTTTTTAAAGAAATCCAGGAATGTTAATTTACCTTTAGATTGCCTTTTCGATGCATTTGATGTTATGGTCGTTCCAATTCTATTGTATGGCTCAGAAATATGGGGACACGAGAACTTAGAAATAATAGAAAGAATTCACTTAAAATTTCTGAAATTAGCTTCCGGTTTGAGAAATAGCACTCCAAGTTATATGCTTTACGGTGAATTTGGAAGAGAGCCTTTGAGTATTAAAATCTATAAGCGATTTATTTCACATTGGCATAAATTAGCCTCTGAGAACACATATTGGAAGCCATCCCAGATTATATATAACTGTGTTAACCACATCTGTGACAATACAAATAAAGTTCCATGGCTACGTTTTGTGAAATATATCCTTGATAACTGGGGTCTATCCTACGTGTTTCTAAATCCGTCTGTATGTTCTACGCCCTGGCTTGTCTCAATGGTCGAAAACACCTATAGAGCCCAGTTTTTCCAAAATTGGAAGTCAAATGTTGATTCTAGTTCCAAGGGGGATTATTATAAATATTTCAAAACTCAACCAATCTTAGAAAAATATCTTCTTCTTCCCAAAATATATACTACCCAATTTTGAAGTTTAGAACATCTAACCATAAATTACCAATTGAGACAGGCCGATGGTTGGGCATTCCACGTGAAGACAGACAATGTCCACTTTGTGAATCAAACGCTGTTGGAGACGAGTTTCACTACTTGTTTAGATGTGAAGCTTTTCTCCAATTCCGACGTCAGTCTCTGAACACTAAATACCTAGAATTTCCAAATTTGTCCATCTTTAAGAAACTCTTGTCTACTACCAGCATAAGCGACCTTAAAGGCCTTTCTAAATTACTGAACCATGTATTTAATGCATTTAAAAAATGAAATATTGTAATTATCTTATATCTTATAAGCTGCTGTCTTGTATATTATGTAAATGTATATACGTTTATCTCATGTACCGCCGTTGGCGGTTTCTAGAGAATAAAGAGTTTGAGTTTGAGTTTGAGTTTTGGTTCTTATCCCATCTGAGTTGTGGTGGTTCCATATCGTTCCACTGCGATATGTTTACCTAGTGCGACGAGTTCACGTTATCAAAACATCTATAGTAGATTATCCGCAACCCTAATTACGCCTAATCAGAACCTAACCTTCAAAGGAAACCCATGGTCGGCGTCCTGAGACTAGTGGAAAATCGAAAGGTCGGCGTCCTGAGACGACACCGTATGAATAATATTGTTGTTATTCTGACAACTAAATTTGTTTTGGCCTTGTGTGCTGGCAGATAAAAGAAGTGGTGAGCGTATCCTGTCCCATCAGTTGCACCCGTCCAAAAACTTGCAGAGGCCAGTCAAATTTAGACGAAACACGGAAACATATACTGCTACAGAAACAAATTCACATATGTTTATAACTTACGCATCAGAGTTTGATATGTCCGTCTCACTATGATAATCGTCTTGTTTTTCTGACAACTAAATTTGTTTGGGCCTTGGGTAATGGCAGATATAAACATGCTCAATGTATTTATTTTGATAGTTTTTATCACTATATGGCGTTAATATTGGCGATGCCATGAGAACAATATTACATTATTTAAGATAAAGTCATATGTTCACAACTATCGTAAAATGATACGAAACACACGTGTCTCCAATCAGCAGCGAGGAAACGTCAGCAGAATCGTCGATGGTAAACAAATTTGTCCCCGATCACTATCGATACTAGTGCTCCTGCTCGTGTTCTTGTTATTCACAAAAGTGGTAAACATCCATATCCTTTCTCACGTCGATTAATCCTACCAGTAAAACAAATACCACCACATAACTGAAAACTGAAAGACTCAGATTTTAGCTATAAAGGTTCACGAATCTGTACTTAACTGGAAAGTGTAATCCCATAAAACATGTTGCAAATAACCAGCTTTACTAGTCTGACAACTTTAGCCTTTCGTGAGATCCTGCTGGATATGATGCATGCAATACAGCCTGTGATACCTGTGTAAATCACATCACCATCAGATAACCTTTTGTTCATATTTAGGCACCATTAAATGCATGTGGCTGTAGATTTTCTGTTGCCCGACAGTTCATTCCCTGCTATTAAAGTTGAAATACGAGACTCTTTGCAATCTGGCAACTTGGCATCTCAACGCCGAAGTGGTTTGCTATTAAAGTTGACGAGCTTCTATACCTGTTGTATATGTTTCATGACTCACGTTGATAGGGAGAACACGAGATAAGATGTTCATGTCTGACACACAAAAGTTTCAGATTTCTTTTATTTCTGTATCTAAAGAAAGTACAGGCTGTCTTGCACATTTGTGTTGGGTGTTTTTGTCTCATTGAATCTAAAATGTATAAACATATCTAAATATATGAAGTGAAAGCATGCTGTATTGATAAATGAGAATAGGTTCAAGTAGATAGATATATGTTTTTGTAGAGCTTACTGTTTGCGTTTAGTTCCAGACATTGACGCATGGTTTCAATTGTCTGTCATCACGTAGATTTAACATGTAACTAAAATATGATTTTTCATATTCATTTTGACCGATCGGAGAAACTTGGGTAATCTGAAAAATGATGTTCAACCTATGAAATGTGTTCCTTATCTGTCTTATCTCTTAAAGAGTTTTGTCTGGGCTCTGACCTTGACCTGACCATTGTTGACTGTTTCGATTGGCCATCGACCACCACTCGACTTACACTAATTTGATAGAAAACCCATCGGTGTCTGTTGTTTGACGTCACCACTCTATGACCTGTATCACGACGGCTTGTAAATAATGGACTATTGACCATGTAAACGTGCAACTAAAAGCATGAATAACGACCGGCGATAGTTTGTCACACCACGGTGACACGCAATCCACTAAATCACTGAGTCTGACCACCCGATCCAAATTAAGTCAGCTCAACAAACAATGATCATGGGAAGCCTTGCTTTGAATTTTATAATTAAAGACTGCCTTATCTTTATGGCGGAGTTACTCCTTCAAGAAAGCACTGTGTTGACTCAAACATAGTTTAATACAATTGCGCGGTGAATGTTTAACTGTAAATAATTTTTTTAAAAACACCAAAAAAACAAAAACAAAACAAAAACAAAACAGAAAAAAGAGAGAGAAAAAAAAGAGAAGAAACTCCTCTTGCAAAAGGTTTTTTGCTACTGTTCTGGATGTTTAAATAATTATTCTAAAAAGAACCATCGCAGGTGATGATGTTTTGACGTCCGAGATACCAAGATGATAATTTTGCAATTTTACAAATTGTTGATGGAGCATGTTTTGTTTCTATATCAGTATACTAAAAGACATCTTTTCTGTCTTCAATAATTGATATGAAAAGAAAGCCTCGATACTGTAATATGATGAACCCTTTGCCATGTACCAGGAGAAGATTGCAAGTGAACAGGGTGGTTCGAGAAGGCTTACGCCCTATAGAGATTGACTAAGAGCTCTTCAGAGAGGTGATTGTCTTGGTGTCTCAAGAATCAAAGTTGACAGGAGTCTTATGAAGGAAGAAATCAGACACACTGTTGGACTGGTGTTCAACATTTTAAACAGAAGAATTCATGTTTAGCCTAATGATTACCACTAGTGTTAATTTTCTCGACTGATGTATTGCCGTAAAGATTTTGAAAATGAAATCAACAAAGATTGAATCAGCCATACTCCCACGAACCATTACTCGTTCTACAAAAGTATGATGTTGGATAGTAGAATTGCTAGACGTGGACCATCTTAACGAAGGATATTACCTCAGCTGTACTGCGGTCTATGGTGTTGTTTAGATGGGTTGTTCTGTGGCAGTGTGTGGTCCCAAGTGGAAACAACCTCAGGCTGCTGTGTCTGTACATTCATGTTGTCATCTAAATATACAGGGACAAACTCTTCCTATATATAGTGAAAATTTGTGCACGACTCTATACATGTATGTGCTATTTGAATATCTGTCAAATTGTGTTCATATTAGGTGTTCGCAAAAAGTGAACATATCGTGCTCACCTGTGACACCAAAGAGATCAGTGCACTCAAACCAACAAACGCCCGCCCTCATCGACCTATCCCCCACTCCACCTTCCCCTAGCTCTTCACCCATCCTCTTCGAAACCTTCCCGAAAGGTCCACTAAGTAATCCCGATTGCCTAATCAAACACCTTTCGAGCACGAGTCGCCTGGTGCTCTTTGAAATCTGTTTCGTTTTGAAACTGTCCCCAGATCAAGGTCTCTTTGGCTTCATATACATAAAGGAACTGGTCTGAGTTTCCCGTTTCCCAACAATCACCATTACATTTTCATATTAGCCTTTGGTTCACTGTCCCCGACGAACTCTCAGATCAAACAAATAAGTTTTTTCTTTTTTGAGAGGCATTTTAGAAGTTGGATAAAAGGGGGGCATAGAAGCCAGTTGGAAGAGGTATGGGTGGATTACTGGTGATCTTGTATAGGAGAAAGTCCGAATATCTGTCCATTCCTGAAAGGTAATGGAGACGAGGCTCCATTAGCTTTCAGGAATGGACAGATACGAGGACTTTCTCCGACTTAAAATACACCCACACCTAACGGGGAATACAATGCAGATCAATGAACACCAAATATTTTTTTCAGTTAAAACTTAATAAACCATTTTAGAAAAAAATATCCGCTTGTATTCGGTAAAAGTATTAAATCAACTCTCTCCTTAGTGGAGACCCTCTATGCGTCAAAGAACGGGCTGCCACTTTTCACGTGCGTTGTATGCGTGTAAACCCGTATGTCTCCATTACTTCACCAAATGAAATAACTCGCACGTGCTTTGTACCCGTGTTAACCCGTATGTCTCCATTACGTCAGCAAATGTCATACCTTGCACGTTTGGTTTGTATAAACCCGTATGTCTCCATTACTTTTAATAATGGTATAAAATGCACGTGATTTTGTGCGCGAAAACCCGTATGTCTCCATTACTTGAACCACGTGTCAGAAGACAGTCGTAAGGATGGACATCGATAGCTCAGATGATGATGGAATGTTTTTGACCCAGTCAACATACACAACGCAATATTCGGATATATCTTCAGATGAAACTGCTGATAAAGTTATTGTTGGTGACGTTTTGGAGGGTTTTGGTGACAAAATCACTCAGTCGGATGACGAGTTAGTGGCGTCTTGTATAGTCGCTGAGAAGCAATCAACGTATGAAACTACGTATGAAACTGACAAGAAGGGAGGGAACGCGTCGGAGACGTCGGTTACCCACAGTGGCAGTCGTTTTCACGAGCCCGTTCCTGACAACATACTGAATGATCTACAAACCAAAAGTAAGTACATGTTCATTTCGGATGTTTACTTTGAAATGATAATTCTAGAATTTCTTTGAAAAGCATTAAAAGTAACGCGCACGGTAAACTTTGACATTTGTACTTGATTTGTTTTGTATGCTTTCTTCGAACATGAAATGGAATTGGCATTTATAAAGTGATTGTGTTATAATAATTATTACGTTAAATCTTACTCGTCTCTTAGAGATTTTCAGAAAGCTTCAGAGATGTTACAACAACATGTCCAGATTCGTTTTGTTAATTCTGTTAGCGATTGTGTTTAACATTTATGACCGTTCTCAGTTTATTGTCTGTCGTCAGTTTCGAACACTTTTGAGTATTTAAAGTTGAAGTTTAGTATATAGTAGTTTATGATATCATATACTCTATATCTTATCATTTGACTTTTGACCTTTCAGGTTTGCCGACAGCACAGTATCAAAAATGAAATGGGCTACAACTTTATTCAGAGAATGGCAAAGTAACAGAAACAAACTAGCAGCGGACACTTCCAGGAACCTAAGCTTCATTATGGTACCACTGGAGGAAATGAGCGTTGACGAACTGAACTATACTATTTCCAGATTTGTCTGTGAGGTGAAGAAGACGGACGGCACTGATTTCCCGTCCGACACCTTATATGGACTTGTGATCTGCCTCCAGTTACACATGGACAGCATTGGCAAAGCCTACAAGTTCCTAACTGATGACGCCTTTTTGCAAATAAAGAACACCCTGGATAACATGATGAAACGTCGCGCTAAGGATCCATCCAGTAAGCCACCGGTTCAAGCCGAAGTGATCACGCCAGAGGAAGAGGAAGTTCTATGGGCAAAAGGTGTTCTTGGGAGTGATAACCCTAAGCAATTATTGGACACTATTTTCTACTTGGTTGGGATTAATTTCGCCCTCAGGGGTGGCCAGGAACACCGAAATTTGCGCGTCGGAAGGACTTCTCAGTTTTCGTTATCGTCTGATCAACACGGGCGTGTTCTGATCTATACTGAGGACGTCTTATCTAAGTCCAATCAGGGGGGCCTTAAGCATCGGAAGTGTAAAGCAAAATCTGTGAGGGCCTATGAGAACGTTGACAAGCCAGAAAGGTGTTTGGTTGAACTCTTTGAAAAATATTTAACCCATAGACCACCCCCAAAACAGACAGTGACCCCTTCTACTTGCGACCATTACGAAAACCAATGGGCGACGTATGGTACAGCAGTCAAGCAGTTGGCCGCCACAGTCTAGCTGCTATGGTGTCTGACATTTGCCAAAGAGCTGGATTGACCGGACACAGGACCAACCACTCACTACGCGCCACAGCCGCCACTCGTTTGTTTGAGGCTGGTGTTGACGAGCAATTGATATGCGAGGTAACTGGGCACCGGTCAAGCGCAGTGAGGAGCTATAAGCGTACCAACTCGGCTCAAAAAAGGAAGTTGAGTTCTCTTCTGCAAGGTCAAGCTTCAGTTCCTGGTTCAGCCAGTTCTACCGCTTGTTCTAGTACTGACATAGATAAGTCTGACGACAGTAAAAACATTTCTGTTACTGTTAGTGTGAATGTCAACTAACTGTAATTACTGGAAAAAATCAAATTAAACGATAAACTGTAAAGTTGTGTTTGTTATATTTTGGTAATGAGTAATATGTTAGTAATGGTGACTTTTCTCAGGGAAAGTCTCCATTACTGAAAGGTAATGGACAGATTTGCAGTGACAGAAAATAATTAGGTGGTGAGAGCAGGTGTATTTTACAACTCCTGTAATATTACAACACTACGTTTCTGGGCTACTTCTTGCCCCTTCATCAGTATGTAGAGGAAGCCAGATACTTATTACGAAGGGTGCTGATTGCCGACGGGGTGATTTATCTCTTGGGTTGATGGTGGATCTGATGACGTTGTTAACTAACTTCTGGGGATACTGGTTATAATGAATGAGGATATGGCGGAGGTGGTTGAGTTCGATATATAGGGCTTGTGTTGTCGAGCAGATGTTCTTGGCTTCTTCGGGTAAGGGTGGCAATCAGCACCCTTCGTAATAGGTATCCCGTATGCCCCAGCAGTCAGCCACCAGATAAGACGACTACTTCAGCAGCAAGCAGGTACAGACGTTCTGTTCCAGAAAGGCAAATCCATCCAAAACCTCCTCCAAGCCACAGGCAAACCCCCATCAACAACCAAAGAAGACCCCACAGGAGTAGTCTACCAGATCAATTGCCAATGTGGAGACTCTTACATAGGTGAAACGTCCCGCCTCCTACCACTACGAATTAAAGAACACAAAACTTCAGTCGAAAAAAGACTCCAAATCCGCCATAGCCGACCACACCCAAGCCAACCCTGACCATGCCATCCTTTGGGACAACATCCACATCCTGGAAACCAACCGATCAGACTACAAGATTAGGAAACGTCTTGAAGCCATAAAAATCCAACGCTTCAACCCCACCATGAACCGGGATCAAGGTTATTTTATCTTTTCAGCCTATCACCACCTAATTAAAGATAACCAGTAATCCACCCATACCTCGTCCAACTGGCTTCTATGCCCCCCTTTTGTGTATTGTAATCACAACCAATCAATGTGTACATCCGCCTACCCTCTTCAACTCACATTACCATCTCAGTGTACATCAACTCATCTATTGTATAAACTCATTCTGCATATTGTTTTAATCACTATCACTCTGTACATCAACCTACTCTGCTCAAATCACTAATTAGCAATCCAATGTATATCAACCTTGTCAATTGTATATACACACTATGCAGCTATGTATATATTCTCCATGTTACAATTTTATGTATCACTTGCTTGATAACGGTATCCTACACCGAAACGTCGCACCCATTGCAATAAAGAAGTTGTCTATCCATAGAACTTGGTTTCCATTCAAGTTTTTTCTTTCTCAATCAGGTTGCTTTCGTCCTTCGATCCCACCGGTACATCTTTCTCAATGGAAACGTCTCTCCCCAAGTTGGATCAGCTCGTTGTCGTGATCATGCAAACAAAAAAATCGTTTACGATGTCAATTGAATTGATTAATTTGACCAACAACATTTACTCATCCATAGATGGTGCTTATGGTCAGTAACCTATTTCTCCTGGTCTCCACACAATTGATTATCCCCATCATGGCCTTAATACTGGTCCTGGCAGGATACAGCTCCGTTCACATCCTTACACGTGTTCTTGGGACAACAACAGCAGGATATCGTTCTGATATATCAACGTATATAACTTTATATAAAATGTTCTGGTGTCTAAATCGTTGTTTAATTGAATGGTTGGTCGAAGGACGTGCTATAACTACATGAGTGTATTCACTGCTCCTCACATATAGACTTGATACTTGATATAGACTTGATACTTCATCAGTGTTATCATGATATAAATCTACGTTGTAATCAATCAGGGACAATGGGTAATGTAAATTAATTATTATATATTTCTATATACTCAGATTTGAACTGTTTTATTTGGGTATTTCTGTAGTAAGGTATAAATATAACTGCCTGTTTGGACCGTAAATCTGAAGCTATGTTTCAGTATGATGTATTTATTGTCCATAGATAGTAAGCTGTCAAATACCGATTTCTGGGTTTACCTTTCAATATGGAAACGTAACACTGTAATACAGTCAAAATAAACTTGGTAAAAATATACGCATTTAAAGAAATTGCGTCTATCCTCAATAAGTTTCAATAAGCAATGTTTTATCACGTGTGGTTTAACGCCATATCTGTAACCGTTCAGTGGTAAGATTGTTAGCGACATTCACACATGACGATGACAGATTGACTATGTGGGTACTGTACTTCCGAGACGGGATTATCTCTTATCAACACTCACAGCAACCACCAATGTAACATATCTTATATTTGGGATTACACTTTCTCAGTATTCTAGAACCTTTGTTAGGTTGAGTCCCATCCGGGATTCGAACCCCCACCCTCAGAATCTAATCATCTAATCGCCAGCATATAACATATATTACATTTGACCACTTTCTAAATGGTATTGATTATTCAAAGCATCAATATGCCAACTTTACTGTGAGTTGTAATATTAAAAGGCTTTTCTGTGAGTTGTAATATTAGAAGGAAAACCTGATACAATCTACAGAAATAGAAGACACAATCATTGTTTTGAACAAGCTGTATTTATACAGGGACCATCAAGCTGGCAAATATAGCCGTGGAGATCAGATGTTTATCGTTTTTAGTAACGTGATATCACAATATTGATAGTTATATACTCACCAAAATATATTAAGTACGTGGTACACAGTGTATGTGTCGTGTGACAGCACATGGTCTATAGGTCTACAGTGTAACAATAAAAGTTGGAATTTATTACATGAACCTTAGTTGTCTGTTTTCAACATCATTCAAGAGAGAGAGAGAGATAGTTTATATCGCATAATGGCCTCATGGCCCAGAGTACTAAAAATACATATTTGTTTGTTTGTGCGCCTACAATACATATACATAAATATAATGCATTACTGTATAGCAGTCAGACAGGTAGGTTTCTCTTCAGATAGATTGCTAGGCTTTTAATAAGATTCACATCTTTTTTGCATAACAACTGCTTAAACTTAAATACAGATGGATTTATATGATAATACACAGGAATAAACTGCATCCTACTTGTATGGTAGTAAGGACATACTAACAGAGAGTGGTATTCATCCTCTACGACATTTAAATGACACTTGCTACATATAGCTATAGTATCGTCTACATTGTCTTTATTGAAACGCAACTGTTGGACACCCAATATATACTCTTCTGTTTCCAAAACTGTCTTGTACGATGAATAAACTTTCAAAAAGGAACTACTACCAATATCACTGCTCCAAGTTTGGAAACAGATATTCTTGCAGCTTTGCAAAAACGTTGCCATTAACACTTCTACGTCGCCAAAGTCTTGTGTAATCCACGCAAAAGAGAATCCAAATTTAAACAATAGTGAACGAACATGAGAGACCCAGTTTACATTTCCATTTTCATCAAAGACTTTTAGCATTTCATAACAAGCTCGAGGGTACCTATGGCTACTCATTCTCACTAGTCTACACCAGTACCTGATACAACAACTAAAATAATTAACAGACATTTGATATCTGCCAAACTCCCCTAAAACAGCTTATGTGTTTGTAGACACAAATTTTCCTAAACCTAAATAATTCTTGAAGAACAAGCCCTGAAGCTTTTCAATATCTGCTCTATATGTATATCCCCAAATTTCGGCGCCATAGAGCAAAATATGTGCTATTTTCGTGTCAAATATGTTCTTAGCCATTTCATGAGGTGCGTCATACTTAATCAACACCTGTTTGACAGGAGAGCTCGCTTTCATTGCTGACACCCAAATACTTATAGTAGCTAACAACTTTAATTTCCGGACCATCATGGAACCATTTCTCTGTAGTTCTAAGATAACCTCCATTTCTAAAGACAATGATTTGAGACTTATCTAAATTCACCTCCAAACCCCATTTTAAACAAAATTTATGTAGGAATCTAATTTTCCTTGCAGCCCTACGACAGAATCATCTACCTAAGTGACATCATCGGCAAAGAGCAGCAGTAAAATGTCGTCCAGTTCTGATTTGACAAATATACCACTTATACCACTATTTTGCATTTCCTCTCCTAACTCATTTATAAAAAATATAAACAATACCGGACTTAACACACACCCCTGTCTGACGCGATGTGAAGTTGTGAATATATTCGACCTGTTACTACCAACTCGGACGCACACTTTGACCTTATTACACGTGTTCCTTAAAAGCCTAAAGATCTTACCATGAACACCTTTACTTAACAGTACATACAATAGCTTATCTCTATCTACTAAGTCGAAAGCCTTACGAAAATCAATAAATTAGGCATAAAACCTATGACCAGGTTTCCTTAGATACTTTTGAACAAGCGACTGTAGAATGAAAACATTATCAAATGCCATTTCTACAACCTGCCTGTGACTCGTGTAAAGTTTTGTTCAGGTCAAGCCAAACTCGAATACGTGAATCTAGAATACTAATGAATATTTTACCCATTACACTTAATAAGGAAATTTCCCTGTAGTTGTTTGGGTTATGCCTATCGCCCTTCTTATACAAAGGCACTATGACTCCAACATTCCAACTATCTGGAAAAATCCCACTATCCAGCACTGCATTAAATAGCATTTTTAAATATAGAACAATCATAAGAAGAAACTTATAAAACTCTGGAGGGACACCATCCATGCCAGGAGCCTTTCCACACGTCAGAGAATCTATTGCCTTCATGATTTCATCCTGATTTATAGGATCTGAGAGAAAATCTGGTTCCCTACAAGCACTACATTGCTCAATATCATTGGAGTTTACACATCCTTCAACAAACCTATCAAAAGCTGTTATTGGTGGCGAGACAGGATTTAATAAATTCTTAAAGTATGTGAACCATGTGTCAACTGATATATTCACTTGAGAGGCCTTTGAACGTAAAAGAGACTGTACTTCACCCCAAAAGACCTCATTATCCTTCGCCTCTAGAGCACCTTGAATATCG